TTGGCCATCCTGGCCTCCAAGGAACACTCTGGCTTGCTTAAGAGGCCTTAAAACTCTTACTGCTGAAGACCAAAAACAACAGTCTTCAGCACGGACTGTACCTCAATGTAAAGAAAACAAAAATCCTCACCAATGAACCAATAAACAGCATCATGATAAACAGGAAAAAGATTAAAGTTGTCAGAAATTTCATTGTGCGTGGATCCATAATCAGCACTCATGGAAGCAGCAGCCAAGAAGTCAAAGGACATAATGCATTAGGCAACTCTCCTGCACAAGACCTGTTAAATTGTTCAAGAGCAAACATCAGTTTGAGAATTAAGATTCGCTTGACCCAAGTCAAGGTATTTTCAATAGCCTCACTTGCATGGGAAAGCGGGACAATAAATAAGAAAGACCACAGGATAACTGAAGCATTTGTCTTGTGCTGTTACAGAGTACTGAAGGTACAGTGCCTGCAGAAGAACAAACAGGTGCATGTTGGAGGAAGTGCAGCCAGAATGCTTCTTAGTTAGACGCCAGGATGGTGACACTGTCTCTCATACTTTGGACATGTTATCAGGAGGGACCAGTCTCTGGAGAAAGACATTATGCCTGGAAAAGTGGAATTTCGGCAAAAAGCCCCCAATGAGATGGACTGGCACAGTGGCAGCAGCAATGGGCATGAATGTGGCAAGAATTGTAAGGATGGTGCAGGACCAGGTAGTGTTTCATTATTTTGTGCTATGAGATGGCATCGACTCAAAAGCACCCAACAACAACAACACTAACCTACATCTACAGCCCAAATACCCACTGCCATTGAGTCAAGTCTGACTGAAGCCAACACTATTGTTGTTGTTGTTAAGTGCTGTCAAGTTGATTCCAAGCCATAGTGACCCTGTATAGGGTTTCCAATGAGCAGTTGGTGAGCTTGAACCACTGACTTTGCAGTTAAAACGACTTTGCAGTCTGACGCATTAGCCCACAGTACCACACCAAGGTAACACTATAAGACTATAAAATTTATCCATAGCGTATCTGAGACTGTAAATCTTTTTTGAAGAAGACTGAGACTCAGTGAGACTGGAAGGTTTTAACAGTAACTTTTCAGTTAGTAGCCCAAGGCATAACCCACTTTTCCACCAGGGCTCCTATCTGTGTTTAAGTGGGGACTTCAAAACGTTCATGGAAAAAATAAACTAAAAGATAATAGAATTTTTTCAAAACCTTTAAAAAGTCCCCTCATATACACACATATAATTTTATACTAAACAATCTGTACTTGTAACTTAATTTAAAAAGAAGTTCATATTGGTGTCTCTAATTCATTGCTATAGGAGCCTTACTGGTTGAAGTGGGTTACGCGTTGGGTTAACCAATGGTCAGCAGTTCAAATCTAGCAACCACTCCATGGAGAAAGATAAAACTTTCTACTCCTGCAAAGATTTACAGCCTCGGAAACCATATACAGGGTAGCTGTGTGTCAGAACTGACTCCATGGTACATAACCACCACCATTACCAATTCATTGCCATATATATCATGCTTGTTTCCACTCCAAAGAGGACTTTTTAATAATTCTATTTGTGATGACAATGTTTAATTCCAGGATTTATCTTTCTAATTAATCGATATTATCCATGATTCTAGAGTCATCAGTGATACAGAAGAAAGTTTCTTGAATTGGAAGATAAATCTGGATTTGGAACACCCTTTTTAATCTACTAGTAGTTTAGGTTTCTTAACTAGTTCACTCTTCTATGAATTTAGAACATGATTTGTCTAATTCATGGATTATCATAAAGA